CTGTAATCATGATGTTTTTCAAATAAATGTCACAACAGAAAATACAGTTACTATTGTATTTTCATCAATGTTCCTACATGTATCATGAGAAGAAATTTGCCAAGAAAATTGCTAGTGCGAGTAAGGGTTAATGGCAATGTTTAGAACATCTGACTCAAAACAATTTCTTGGGACAACAGTATTCTACATATACAATGTTATCTTGATCTAACAGAGCACATATTTTCTTCCTGTCGGCATGGGGAACACAATGTCTACAGTTGCAGCTGTCCAGATTTTGGTGGGTGTAGCCATGAATATGGTGGTGGTGATGTGCAAATTGTCCTCAATTTTTCCATGAATGAGAACCTACAGTATCAATGTTTCCAAAAAAAAAGATTTACATGGGGTTTATACCCTTTATAAAGATTACACTATGCATTTTTTGAAGGTTCACAAACAATCATGCCATGTCATTCAACATAGTACATTTTTGTCCAGTGCAGTAGTGATATTAATTTTAATATGCAATCACACAAAAGTGCTATAAAATATACAACAATGATTGAATTTATGGTCAGCAGGACTGGGTCCCATGTGAAAACGAACCATACAGTACAATCATGTCCGATGTAAACAAATATATGCTGCTACCAAAAAGTTCATCTAGAGATGCCTGATTATGAATTACAAAACAATAATCATCCAATAACTCAATCCCAGTAGCATTTTGATAACAGCTCGCCATATAAAGATGAAATCAGTTTTATCCTTGACTGAATTAAGCTATAGTACTGAGCCGAGGTGAAGTACTACAAATACACATCAATACATGTCTCGAACAAGTTGAATTATAAACTCAGAGATCCCATATTTTCTCAGACAGTAAATGAACAAAATTGCCCTAGCTTAAAAATTGTCACAAATTCACAGCGAATTAGAGATCCAGTCTCGACTATGGAGAACGAAATAATCAAATGTATAAAACAAATATTTACCTTTATATGACAGTATAACTTCGACATGGGCCAGGGACATGGCGAAGCGCTTGACTGAATTTCAAATGAACACACTTTAAAGGCATCCTTGTTGGCGTAATATTCTTTCCTTCTTCTCATATTGTTTCAATGATTTGTTATTAATCGGATTTCACTTCATAAAAGTCACAAATCGTTGAAAATCTCTTCGAAAATGTGTATTCCCACTCCTTGTATCAACAAATATAGAATCCCGCGTATATTATGCAATCGGACTGGAAACCATGGAAACGAGAGTAAGTAGTCTACCAAAACAAAAAGAATCGCACATGCGCAGCACGGACTGTAACCCGTCTTTAATGGAATTAAATGCCAACTTATTTGAAATTGTTCCAGTGCAAATCCACATGAGTCAGTGCAATAAAACTAGACTTGAAAAAGATAGAGAATATCACAAACAAAAACGACTGGAGAAATCACACAGTCCATCCCTTACGAAAAAAGTCTATAGGTTCCTATAGGAATTGTTCCAATTCCCTATAGAAGCCTTTAGGCACCTATAGAGCTCTATAGACTTATAGAAAATGTTCCAATTGCCTATAAAAACCTATAGGTTTCCTATAGAAACCTATAGTTTGGCCTATAGACCAGGCCTATAGACTTTTTTTGTTGCATTTAACCAGATCAGACTAGAAAAATCTAGGGAGTCCAAAAAGAGAAAGCGAACACAAGAAACAGATAGTCAGAGACAAAGTAGACTACAAAAAGCAAAGATATATAAAAAACAAAAGCGAACGGAAAAAACAAACCACACAGCCTGAAAAAACAAACCAACAGGACTATTTACAAAAAATTGACATCACAAAAAATGGTGGTATTGAAAATCAATGTTGGGCAAAAACTAACATAAATAAATTCCAAAAGTATATTAAGTTTTCAATTGTTAAATGTACAATTTGTCAAGAAGCATGGCCATTGAAGGCTAAACCAGAATCACTTACTAATTATGTGTGTCTACGAGGCTCAAAAGATAAAAAATCTCCAAAAAAATTATCCTGCAAAAATTCAACGATTCCTTCATGTGTTCCCCATGAATTACAAAATTTGACTCAAGTTGAGGAAATGTTAATTGCCTGTGCTCTTCCTATCATGAGGGTCTATATTAAACCTGGTGGTCAACGAGGTTATTCAGGGCATTGTATCAATTTACCCCAAAATGTTACTGAACTTGCAACACACTTGCCAAGATACCAAAAAGACTTGGCTGTGATTAATGTCAAGGTGAAGGGTAGAGAGAATACCTTTAAAGATGTGACAGTGCGAAAACAAAAAGTGCACAATGCTTTAGTTTGGCTTATCAATAATAACCCATATTATTCTGAGCTATTAATTAATGAAGATGCGTTAAACCTATTACCTGAGAATGGTGTACCACCAGATCTTAGGACTGATGATGATATAGTCTCGGATGAGAATTTGGCACCTGATGTATGTCCTCATACTGATAACCCCTCAGAGGATATTGTTTATAATGATTCTGCTGAAATGAGTAGTTTTTTACCTGTTGGTGAACAACAACAACAGGACACCAACAACACCAACATTTTTTACTCTCTCTTCTGCAGATATGCATTGGCCTGAGCTACATGCTTTATTTAAAGCTGATGCTAATAGTAACATTAACAATTTTACCAGTGACGTAAGACGACAAAATGTTATTAACGATCCTCATATTGTAGATTGGTTTTTCACTCAAAGGTTAGAAAGCTTTGTAAAACACTGGCTGTATGACACCCTTGGTGCCAAATGGCGCTGGTTTAGATATGAATACCAAGGTAGAGGTAGTATTCATTGTCATGGTACTGCTAAACTAAACAATGATCCAGGTTGTGTCAACTTACTCAAACTGCTTTAAAGGGTTTCTTAGCTCAAAAATTTAAAGATGAGAATGACTCTCTTGATACAACATGTGATTGGTTGTTATCAACTACCAATCCTAATCCACCAGATGAGGACATGTGGATAAGACCCGAGGTTCATCCATGCCAAAGAAGTCATGACATTCCTGAACATGAAAAACAATCAGATTATGTAGATTTATTAAACATGGTTCAACGACACACACATTGTAGTACAAGCTATTGTCTTAGAGAAAAAAGTCAAGTGAAACAGAATTGAAATGTAGATTTCACTTCCCTTTTGATCATTGTTCACAGACAAATTAGAATTTGAAAAAATTCACACTTCAGGTGATAATGAACATTATAGAGCCAAAATTGTGACTAAATGAAATGACTGTAGGTTAAATAACCAACAACAACTTCAACTCCAAGGATGGAGAGCTAACTGCGATATTCAAGTTGTTATTGATCACTACGCTTGTGTTGAGTATCTCACAAAATATGCAGCTAAAGGTGAACCAAGGTCACCTATATTAAAACAAGCATTTAACTCTATTGTGCAAAATGTTGACAGTAATACTGGCCCTCGCAGAGCTATTAAGAAGATAGTTATGAAATCTCTTGGTGAAAGAGATTATGCAGCTCAGGAGACAATGCATCATTTGTTGTCATTGAAACTACATAGCTCATCATTTAAAGTTATGCCAGTAAGTTTCAACGGTTCACATAGAGTGTGTGATACAGCATCCATTGAGGGAGAATCGTGCACTGATTATTCACTTTGTGCGTTTGAAACAACACCACTCGAAATTGCTACTTTTCGACCCGATGGGAATGAGTTAATTAAAGAAAATTAAAATGCATTTCTAAAAACTACAAAAGTACTGTACAACTATTTCAAATTTGAAAACTATTTCAAATTATAGTATCTTCATTGTAGAATTGAAGTAAACGTTGTTTTGTCTGAAAAGCTATTTCAACAGTGCAAAAAATGCAAAACGTCATCATTGTTTTAATTTTCATGCTAAATTTTTTTCATGTATCTTTTTTGCATTTCCCAAATAATCACCTGTGTATTCATACTAAAAATATTATTCGCCCTAGGCTCAACTTTGTCTCGGTTATTATTCATTGATATTCACCTCGCCTTTGGCAAATAATTGTTAAATATGATACTTACTTTACCCAAAGAGAAAAATAATTATAAGGCATGATTATGTAACTACTGTAAATGCTATTGACAAAAAGAGTAAGGCAAAATCTGCAGAATAATAACCAGTACAAATTTGCATTTTTGCAGGTACATTGTGGATTTTTCTAAGTTAAAATTACTAAAGTATACTGCAGCTCTGCATACATGTTTTATAAATTTTCAGTTCAAATTCCTGACCAACAAGTAAGGAATGCTTATCTGACACAGGTGCATAAAAACATTGATACTGGTTATTTGACTCTACCAAAGAGATATATTTCCAGGCTTGTAGAAATAAACTAAAAATATTTACAAATATATTGCTAATTATGTATCGATCAATTCGAAACTTCACCATCCCCCCCCCCGGGCATACCCCGGGAATTTGACTTCAAGTCTTCTCCAGGGAGTAGGGAATTTGACGTTCTAAGTCTTCCATGTGGTGGGGCATTTGATAACGGGGTGGGGAATTTGAACCGGAAGTCTTAAAATGTTGCCCGTTTTCGCGTGCTTCCTGCATGCACAGAAAATACTTCGTAATGGCGGCAAATACAGTTTTCTCAGATTTCGAGGGAAACGGCCTCAATTTTGTGAAAAAACTGGCTCAAAGAAACGGGCATGGAAAATCTATGTGTTTTATTTGAAGGTATGTACTACATAACGTGTAAAACTGTTAAATTTCCACAAGGTATCCAAACTGTTTACGCGAATTTCGCTATCTTGTCGAAAAACATTTCCGTATATTTTGTACTTTTTGTATTTACTGTTTCATAATTTTCATATGAAGGTGGGGCATTTGAACGCTTAATTTCTTGTTACAGTGGGGCATTTGAAGACATTTTTTGCACAGAGGGTGGAGAATTTGATCAGTCAAATTTCAAAAAGTTCAAATTCCCGGGGTCGGCCCGGGGGGGGATGGCGAAGTTTCGAATTGATCGATACATTACTGTATGTTCTGTTCGTAATTAATAACAATAATTACTTCAACATTGTAAACTATCCATTGTTTATAATATTATGTATCCAGATAATAATACAGTATAAATAACAATTATACACTGCAAATGTTTTGTGCAAAAGATCATGATTGTTGAATTAAGCAAAGCTTTTGATAAGTCCAGATCATTGTCATATAATATATGCACTGATAATGATCCAAGATTACAAATAGAAAACTTTGCTTAAAATAATTAGTTCATCAATTATATTTTATTTATAGTTACTGTACATTGGCTGAAAAGCTTCCAATTTAGATTCATTAATGATAATCATTGTTCTGAAAACTTTAATAAAATTATCCTGGCAGTTTTGTCAGAATTGTCCAGTTGTAATATACATAGTTAATATAATAGAGGGTATGGAATGCCCGGTCACATGACAAAATAACTTATTGTTCTTTGTCACGTGGAAGCCAAGGTGCATTGACGAGGTGTTTACCTACTAAAATCACATAGATTAAGCTAAGGGGGACACAAAATCATCGTATTTAGGCACTTTTTTCGCGATGCCAGGAGTGCATTGCTCCATATTTGGGTTGCGCAGCAAGTCGAAAGCACGTTGGAGTAGGCATTTTTAAAATTCCTGCAGAAACAGATGAATTATCGAAGAAAACTTGCGAAGCTTGGATAAGTGTTATCACGAAGGACCGCTCTGTGGACGAAAGTTTGCGTCGACAAATCAATAACGGAAACCTGTATGTCTGTGAGAGGCATTTTAGGCGGAAAGAAGAATATGAGTGTTGTATTAAAGTATACATTAGACACCTTACGATTTTAGGATAGCAACGCGATGGCAACGGCTACCAAATTCCAATACAATAGATCATTGAAAAGAATTGAAAAATTACAATATATGAATAATTTAGACTTGTCCTCGCTCTGTTTACAACACCAAATCACAGATTTTCACGTCTTGATACAACGGCTGCATTTCAAGCCGCAACCAGTGCAACTTCAAACCGGGTTCAGGAGAACTCTACCCATGTCTTCAACTTCTAAAACTGTATTAAATTCATACGATTGATAATATACTACGAATTATCTTTACTACCATTTATTTCAAGGAGTTTGTTTTGGCCGTTGTCGTCGTGTTGCCGTCCTAAAATCGTAAAGTCTCTATTATTATCTAAGATGCGACATTTTAATACATATCAGTGTGGTGTAACCAGTGGGGGTATAACTCTTTCACATCACAAGCCAATCGTCATTGCGTTGCCGTCCTAAAATTGTAAGGTCTCTATTGTTATCTAAGATACGACATTTTAATACATATCAGTGCGGTGTAAGGTCAGGACCTTTAGAGTCGAAAACAATAGTGCTCTGTATGTAAATATATATTTTGGCTGTTTCAAACATTCATAGTCATATTAATTTGAATAAACACCAGTTTGCATGAGAATACTCGGTAAAATATTACCTTAGCCGAAAACTTTAAAGTGGTGGATGTATTTTTGTATAAAATTTACTAGTAAGCAGAATTTTGTGAAGGCTACAAATGCCTATTAATATAAATGTATGTAATATATCTACGAGCTTTACGGATTATTAGTGATTTTTACAGTGTAAAGCGGGAGCAGATTGGCCAATGGAACATAAAAAGGTCTTAAACGTTGCCTTATGCATAGGCAAAGTACGATAGAGTCTTTACATTTATCAAAACGTTGTAAAAACATCGAAAAAAACCCAATTAATATAGAATTAATATAGATTATACTATGAAATCACCATGTTATGCACCTCGACTGTCACATGATGCGTCTCTTTGAGTTTATGTGTTAATAGGTCACATGTTGCTTTGAAGTTTGCCGGCCTTCCAGACCCTCTCATTATATTAACTATGTAATATATCATATTTTGAAATTGCCAACAATATTTATGGTTTGCCCATTAACACCAAACACATTCCCCTTGACCAGTAAAATCACTTGGTGTTTAACGAAGTAAAATAACAAAGGGCACATTGTGTCTTGATAGGTTAAATATACCCTTACAAATTCCAACAAGAATGTAAATGAGGCTGTTGGGTCAAATTAGCCTGTATTCAAACCACAGGAGAGCCTGTTGCAGGCTAATTTACACCAACGACCTCGTTTTCATACTGCCGGAATGATCACTAAGGTCTATTGGCAGTACTAGTAGATAATAGTTTATTGTGATAGTATATAGTGTCAAAATCCCTACCCCATTACACTTTTAATCTTTTAATACACGACTTCCTCCCTTAAGGGGCTGTTTATGTGGAAGCGGGCTGGCCCGCGCTTAGCGAGACAGCCCAGTAAGCGAGACTCACTGTGTAGTTATTTTTATAGTAAAAATTACCAAGCGTTTATATAGACAAGCGGGCTGGCCCGGTTGCCGAGATCTTGCTTGCCGGGATGAAAATTTGTCCATATAAACACTTGCTGGCCCGGTTTAGTGCAGGGATGATAGTTCAAAGATGCCGCCACGAGCTATTTTTAACAACTGTCAAAACAATGTTAAAACAACAGAATTGTCACCGCAAGCGGGATGAAATTTTCTCATATAAACAGCCTCGCTAAGCAGGCCAACCTGGCTTCCATATAAACAGCCCCTAAAAAAAGCTAAATCATGTGGCACTATGCCAACCAAAATGTGAAGTTGTTTGATCATAACAACAACAGTATATATGAACAGGTACTGTAAAGGCAAATTGAAAAAACAAATAACATGCCTTCTACAGCTGACAGAAAACTTTCATTATGATCGGTCCTCACAGGCTGCCATATAATGGGTGAAAAGAACTGTGCATTAACTTAATTTCCATGACACACCTAGGATCAATTGAAGTAACAATCCTTGTATACTTCAATTGTCATTGAAGTCCCCCCCCCCCCCAAATATATCTAGTAATTCTTACAGGAAATACAAGATTTAGTGATTGTAATATCAACAATTTTACTTACTATTTTTTGTATTTTGCAACAGTTTTCACTTTACATGCCATACTTTTGGCTGCAGATTGGAATAACATAGAGAGACAAAATGTTTATAATTCAAAACAAAACACAGTGAGCACACATAAATTGTATGTGTTGAATAGGTTTTTGCATTTTTGGCATAAGGACTGAGACAATTTAACCCAGGCGTTGAGAGAGGTTCGGCTTATGATTTTGGGTTTGATGGCTATACATCTACCCATAATCTTATGCCGAACCTCTCTCTAGTCTCTACACCCGGGTTAAATTGTTACCATTTGGCATAAGGTGGACACTAGTCACAAGATGTTAACTTCAAATAGATCCCACTTGTGACTGTTTACAAATTTTTAACATGATGCTTACCAAGCAAGTAATAAATTGTTCACTATTCATCTTCCTGGTTAATGACAGCTTTTGAAGTCTTAAGTCCAAAGAAAAATCCTCCCTGTCGTATCGCTGAACATAAAATGTAAGTGCCAGTTTTTCTTGCTTGACATTGTAGTCAAAAATCAGTGGCGTTGACTTTCCCACAACTATGGCTGCCCTTCCAGAATACCGTAGCAGTGTGCACCCATTTTCCTTGACTTTGGTGAAGTGCCTTTTCTTCAAAAAATTATTCCCACCAAATCTAACCGGCGAGAACATCTTTGACGCTGTCTCGAATCGGTCAACAGTCACCAACATTTGAGTCTTGGTGTTCTTCAACGACCCGCTATACCCAACAGCTATATTGCATAAATGCAAAATATATTGTATGGCAAAAACAATTTCACAGGCAGCATTAGTCCAGTATTTCTGGAACAGCCAAGCTTGCTAAAAATGGATTTCCCCAATTCTTGAAGATACGAGTCGATTAGAGGCCCAGTAAGCTCGAACTTCTAAGCTCGTTCTTCTAAGATGGGATCAAGGTCTCGCATTCCATAGTTTGGCTTCGACTTGCACTCCCATACGGCATTCAACCACAAAGTCTCCACCGAAACTTTCATCGCAACTAGTGCAGGGTTCCAAAATTTTGCCGATCTCTCTGTGTCATCTCCAGATGACCCAAGGTTAAGCGCGGAAAGCACAGCTATAATTTTCTTGGCCTCTGAATTCGCCATGTTGGAAAGTTTTGGAGGGAAATCTACTCCCCTGGGTAATTACCGCTTATGGTATCCGAGCCCGCACTTCCGGAGGAAAACTCCTTAGCAACCGACCATCGTGCAAGAATATTTCCAACATATTCGCCTAATCCCAAAGGTCCAAATTTGGGCCTTTATTGTAAATACCAACTTTTGAGGTATAAACCTTGGAGAACAACCCAAAACAATGCATGGGGTGACCAAGAACCAACTGATGATATTTTAATTAATTCTTGGCAAGAGTTCTTGCAAACACCTTACAGGTAATCTAATGTCCCAGATTGGTTTGACAAATTACAAGCTATCATTCAAAGTCAAGAACCAGAAGCTGAGCCTTCTGAAGAGCAGCAGACAACTCGAGGAAGAGTGGATGATATTATCAGACCTTCACACTCCTTTTGACAACTCTGAACAAACACCTGAGTCAACATATGACTGGCATCTTGATCACGCCTGGCAAAAAGTAGTCCAAAATCGCCAGAGGTGTTATAACTTTTTTAATTTTCATCCTGATTGCACGAAATTTTCCATAAACATAGAACATATCATTCTAACAAATCGTGTAGTTTTTGTTTTTGGATTTTTTATTTTTTGGCGGGAAAATGACGTCACAAACTTGGCGCCAAAAATTTAAAAATTAGGAATGACTAATATTATTTATTTATTTGGAAGACCATGCTGTAGCAATCTTGAAACTGAAGTCTGTTTCGAAATATGACCATTCGCTGCAAAGATAGACTGGTTCAAAGTTCGAAAAATCCGCCATCTTGTTACTAAAAATAGAACAAAATGGCGGATTTTTCGAACTTTGAACCAGTCTATCTTTGCAGTGAATGGTCGTATTTCGAAACACACTTCAGTTTCAAGATAGCTACAGCATGGTCTTCCAAATAAATAAATAATATTAGTCATTCCAAATTTTTAAATTTTTGGCGCCAAGTTTGTGACGTCATTTTCCCGCCAAAAAATAAAAAATCCAAAAACAAAAACTACACGATTTGTTAGAATGATATGTTCTATGTTTATGGAAAATTTCGTGCAATCAGGACGAAAATTAAAAAAAGTTATAACACCTCTGGCGATTTTGGACTACTTTTTACCGGGCGTGGATAGAGCCAATTATTCAGAACAACAAATCCATGAAATGCCTACATGGATAAAAACAAACAAAGAGGAATACACTATTGATGAGCAATATGATGTTGTTGATATCAACAGTTTTAGTGAAATGCAAAAACTTGCCTATGACATTGTTAAGTCTCATTTTGATGATACATCATCCGAGAAAGAGCCATTATGCCTAATTATAAATGGTGTTGCATGAACTGGTAAAAGTTACCTTATTAATGCTATTAGAAATATTTTGCAAAGTAAATGTGCTGTTGCTGCTACCACAGGTAAAGCAGCCTATAACATTAGGTGTCACTGTGCATTCTCAATTAAAGCTACCTATAGGGTTGAGAGGTAATAAAGACCTAACAGGACAAAGCTTGTGTAGGTTACAAGAGAATGTTAATAACATTGGATACATCATCATTGATGAATACTCCATGCTTGGTCAAGTTACTTTTGGTTGGATAGATAAGCGTTGCAAACAAGCAACTGGTTATAATGACAAAGTATTTGGAGGGAAATGTTTGATTTTAACTGGTGATCCAGGTCAATTGCCACCAGTAGCAGATAAACCTCTTATCATGCAAAAACCATCAAACACTGTTGGTGAACAAGGTTATCAAGCATATCACATGTTTGACAAAGTTGTAAAACTCACTGTAAATCAATGTGTGCAAGGTATGACATCTGAGCAAGTACAGTTCACAGATTTGTTATTACGACTTCACAAAGGCGACTCAACAGTTGATGACTGGAAGTTACTTCTGACACGTCAACCATCGAACGTCACTAATTTATGTGACTTTGAAGATTCTACTAGACTCTTTTATAGTAATGAACAAGTTGCTAATTACAACCAGGGCGCTTATATAATGGGCGGTGAAACGGATATAGGCACGCTGATCGATGTGTGATGCGGCAGACTGGTAACAAGTCAAGTTAGTTGGTAAAATAAATAAACATGGCGACTGCAAGTTCGGAATCATTGTCAAACTCAAATACGGAGTTTTTCTTAGACGAAGAAGCTGAAAGCGAGCTTACACTTTCCGTCCCACATTCTAATTGTGTTGAATATTGCAATATCTCTGCCAATATTACAGCAAGGAGTTTGACATCGTTTCTCCAAACGCTTTTGCAAGTGTACAAGCCGCCTGCAAATGAGAACTGTATTTTAACTTTGGCAGTGGAAGCAGCATTCAATGAGAGTAAGTCTGCCCTCGTAGACGAGTTTCTACAGAACATATTGTGTTTGTTTGAAGTTTGTTTTAGCCAGGCAGGAGCAGAAAAACACTCTCAGAAATATGCAATAAGCTTAGAAAAGGCATTTGCTGAAAAACAACGTTCTAGTTTTCACCATTGTGCAATTAAATGGTCATGGGAGAGATTATTTACTAATACAGCAAGTCAGAGTAGTGAATATAATCAAGCTTCAGAACAGTTGCTGCAGCAAATTCTTCAGTACTTTTGGTCTTCAAGTAGTAATAGTTGTATTACTGTTGAAAGTCCTGAAGAGGAAGGTGAGGAAAGTACTGAAGATCCTGCTGCTTGTGATGAGAGTGATTTCGACAACATCAAAGATCATGCTGGTTGGGTAGTTAAACGAGCTAGGGAGACATTAATGAAGGGAGATAATAAAATACCGGCAAAGGAAAGTGTCACAGAGTCGACCCTTGTCTATGGAGATAAAGCTGGGGCATTGGAAATAATTTCTGCCTTGGGGAAAGATGTTAAGCAAGCAGATGGAAAATTTAGATTTATTGTTCATGAACATGTTGTTCCTTTTTTTCTGTTTCTTCATAATTTGGTTGAAAAACTCATTAATCCTAATAATGTTGTGCTTCAAAAGGGAAATATCCTGATTGATTGCCTTGATAAAATGGCCAGACATAAGGAGCTAAGAGAAAAATGGGATCACTTAACATCAAAGTCAGATGAAACATCCGTCATTGTTCTCCAAAGAATTGCGACGTTCTTTGTTAAATCGAAACAGCAAATACTTAGAGAAAAAAGGGGCCTAAAACCAAATAAAAGTAGCATGGCAGTTCGGCAACAACTTAGGCAGTCAAATAATAAAGCAACTTCATCTCGCTCCTCCAAGGAAAAGAATACAGTAAATGAGGAAGTTAATAAATTAAGATCTGGGGATTTAACATCTGTTAGCATTAATCAATTTTTAAACAGTTTAACTGTTCAATCTCAGTTAAAACAGGAGGATTTACTTGGGAAACTTAATGGGAAAGAACTTGCAACGATATTAAAATCAGTGGGAAAGCCATCCTTTTTGGGAAAGAAAAAAAGCAAGCAAGTTACAACACTGCTTGAAGTTTTAAAAGCTGGAAACATAACTGTGAAAGATATTGACGCAACTTAACTCTATTAGGGGCGGACCATTGGGTCAATCCAGAAAACATCCATACCACCCCCACGGAGGAAATAGGAAGTTAACCCCCCTACCCCCTTCGGATGTCCTAATACACTTACTATTATCAGAAACAATTTTTTCTGCCCCCTCCGGACAGCAGAAATTTCCTCTGAGGGGGGAGTATGAATCTTTTCAGGAATGACCCATTAGAAAAGTGTAGGGGGGGAGCAAAAATAAAAATCGAGCAGGGGAAACAGAAAAAAAAATTTGTGCACCAGAAAAGTAAAAAAAAATTCGTGCAGAGACTTTTCAATAGGGAAAATTATAAGTTGACAGGGCCTAATGGTGTGAGAAAACATTTCTAAACCTAAATGTTGCAGATATTGGTGCAAAAAAGCATTTTAAGCATGTTTTAACAAGAATTTGTCAGGGAAAATGTGTTTTGAACGTTAACTAAAGTGATGTTAGTGCGGGAAATTTTTTTTACCCTTTTTTTGTCCTGAAAAAATTTGTATATCCTGAAAATCCCCCCCCCCTCGCCAACAATCGAGCAAGGGATTATTAAAAAAAACTATCGACACAAGCAAAAAATTTAAAAAAAATAACCGTACAGGTTGGAAATGTCCCCCCCCCCGTCACTTTTCTAATGGTCATCCCTTACAGCAAAAGATAATGCTATTACTAGAAGGGATATGTACATGGAAATTTGAGTAGACATTATATATATATTTATTAGACCTAACCACAGTTAATAGACCTAACCAGGAGCAGATGCAAAAGGCCCTCTCTGGCAGCCAAAAATATAAACTTTGACATTTCGAGTGAAGACCATCATTAGAAAAGCAACAGAATCAATGATGGATTTAATCAAAACAAATTGTAAACAAACTACAGTATTTAGTCCTTGGAGATTGTTGATTATATTAGAATAAGAATACCCAACAGAAGAGTCAAACGTTTGATACAAAAACACATTAATTAAACACAGGCTATATCGTATAATGAAATGGATGCCCAGAGCAGGCCGCTTATATAATTATATAAGCGCCATGGCCCAGAGTATGTGCAAAAGAGCCATGCTGAACGAAACATCATTCTAACTTATACATTGTCTACTTTTGCTGCCAATTTTATATTTTTTGACAATCTTCAATGGGCCTTCAGTCCTTGTAGATGTTACTGTAATTCTCATATTACTGATCATATTATGTCCATGATATTCATGTTCAGCATACCAGAGGTTGAAACCTGAAAAGGCAGGTGGACCAAACAGCCTACAAACATATTTAAAATATTTATTTTAAGCCCTGATTTAAGCTGATGATTTATTTTAAGCCCAAAATATTTACCTTATAGTATTAGTGAACTGGATCCATATATGTTCTAAGATTTCCAGCTACAAAAGTCTCACTGGTACATATCGGTGCACTGGTAGGCAATGCCATGTTTAAAGTAGGCCAGAAAGAATGGAGATCTTTTTACAACAAATAGATTCTAGTGTTTTATTTATGGATGTTTTGGCACAGAATACTATACAGAAGTCCATCTCCATTGTTTTTTATGTAAGTGCTATTCATCATGATTCGCAAGTACTGTAAACAGAAGGAGTTACCCTCCTGGATGTGTGCCATTCTGAATATTTCCAGGGGGTAACCGCTTCTGTTTACAGTACTTGCTAAGTGACGAATCATGATGAATAGCGCTTACGCAAAAAACAATGGAGTCACTCACAGACTTCTGTATAGTATTCTGTGGTATTGGCCCAATGACCCTGTTTCCATGTTTTCGGATGGCAAGCACACATTAAGGTTACACCCCCATGTTTCATGCACAAATATATCATCTTGATCCAATCACAAACCTACCCATAATCCCTAACCCTATTGTGCATGAAACATGAGAACATTGGAACAAGTATCCAATAAATGGCCAGGTGTATTATTGGTGCCATTTTTTTTGCATAAATAGGGTTATTTCAAAACTACAACAGCTTAAAGATGTACTGGCCAAAGATTTTTATGAAATATGCCCTGAACATTGTCCCTCTTTGGAAGACTGGACCAACTCTGTGGCTGCTGTCCAAGGTCAACATCATCAGTTTCGTAGACATTTGTCTGTTTCTTTGATAGCAACTTGGTTGATGATGCAAGTGTGCTGTTTATGTTATACCCATATGTATATGCAGTCATATTGTTTGTCCCTCCACAGGACTGCCTTTGCATGGAAAAAAAAGACTCAACAACATCCTGACTAAGCCTCTTAGGAATAATGTAATGATTCCCTGGATAAAGGGACTGAAACATCACACTTTCCACAAATGAAACCATAGCTTTAATGCCATTGACTGAAACCTGTAAAAGAAAACAATATAATTTTACATTAGTATGAATAGAAAAATAATTATTTCAACAAAGTATGAATTTTACACTAGAATTAACAGACAAACATATTTTCGAATGAACAATTTGGGTGTAATAATAATGTTGAAATATCGAATGTCAATTTGAAATATATTGCAAGGGTAAACCAGACATTTATACGGTTATACCTTCATATCAAACATAGTTTGCCAAGTGATAAAGTGTGATGCAATTTCTGATTTAGCTCTAAACATGGTAGCAAGTTCATTCTTCCAACTGTTGAAAAATGCTATCACATTATCCAGTTCCTTTATTCTAGGATCAGTGGCTGCAGAAAGGGGGTTTGTATCATTGAAGATTTTCCATAATTTGTCACAGTTATAAATGAACAATCTAGTTGATTCTGTAGCAGCTGGATCACAACCTTCCATTTCCTTTTGAACCTTGGAATTAAGCACTTGTACAGCAAGCTTGACTCTCATTTTACTAATACTATCCAGGTTAACATGTGAACTTCTTATATCTGTTGCATATATATGCCGATCTTTCTCTCTTTGGTACACTGAGTATATGTGGTCCCATAAAATAGTTTTGGAGTTCAACAATAAACATCTTGTATATCTTGGAGATATTTCCTTATATCCACTGCTGTAAACATTATTTCTAAGCTTTTTGATCAAGTGGGGTGGATCAGACATAAAGAACAAAGGGAAATGTGAAAATGGATTGTTTGTCTGGCTCACTTCCTCATTAACACCATTCATCATCATGAAAGCCCTATTCTCAGCAGCTCCATCACAGCATGAAAGAATCGTTGTGAATCCATAACCTTGCAATAATCCAACTCCTTGCCACAATAGATGGTTTAGGTTTTGTGCAGAAATTCCTCGAGTTAAGAAGTATGCACATGGAAACTGGAATTTGGGAAATATACTTTTAAAGTAGAACTGCAAAACATGAGTTGCAAGGTTTTCCTGAATGTCAGAATCACTGCCGGTATGTAGTTTTTCATTGTCTATATCCACAAAACCAACTAATTCCCATGTTGATGGATCGAAAACTAGGCCTTCCTTAATCTTTACCTCGTCAAAGAATAGTCCACCACATTTCCCAACTTGGGAAAATCCTTGTTCATTGAAGTTGTCACTCATTGCTTGGAGAACTGATGTTTGCCATCCTGACTTGGAAGAGCAGTAATTCTTGTAGTCAGACAAGGTTCTACCAGATGGGAGTTTTAGAAATCCAGAATCCCTGAAATCTTCATAAGTATGGTGAGATTTAGCATAAACTCGTAAACACCATTTAATTACCAATGGATGCCACCGCATTTGTCTCGCTGGAACATTTAAAGCTTTTGCTTGATCTTTTAGTAGGGTTAGAAAAAACATGTCTGATTCATTACCAACATGTTCATTGAAATGACTTAACAGTAGCTTTTTCTTACCAAACTGTTTACCACTCGCATAAATAATGCCTATCAACAGGTGCAACATCACTCTGACTGACAGTCGTAAGATGAATATCTTTAACATGCTTCATTAATAAATCAGGAGTATCAAACTCACTGTCAATATTACAATTATCCCAATAGCATATCTTGTTATCATGTTTCTCCATTTTGTTTCTTATTCCACTGTACAACTCCTGAAACAACTGTCTGAATTCTGAATCAGTGTTGATGCCTACTGTGCTCATGTTTTGTTGGTGTTGCTCAAGCCTTTTCGTTTGTACTTGCATGGTGTGAAGCTTTTTTGCTGATTCCCGACTATGGTCGATCAATTCATTTCTGGACATGTAGTCATAACGCTTGTATTTTGAAATGGTACTATCCAATTGCTGGGACCTACGTGATTTTAATGTTCTAAGGTAATGATTTGTGTCATTGCAAGCTTTGCAGCAAGTATTTTCTTGATCTAAATGTAGAATGGCACATTTGGTAGACCGAATAACCTGTTCTTGAACATTAATTGGGTTTACTTCGACAAATGCACCAGGTTTTCCATCAGAAGTATTAAATATGGGTGTACTAAGGCTATCAGGTATTAGTATAAACCTACTAGTAGGCTATCATGTATCGTGCGTTCTGATTGGCTACGCTACTAGTAGGCTATTAGTGATAGCCTACTAGTAGCAACAGCGGCGAAGGGCGCGAGTGTCAATGGCTGTTTTAAAAGCATTAAAAGCTGTATTTAAAGGGAAAAAGCTTATCAAAATTGTCTAATTTTGGTTCTGGATTACACACAAACAAAGACTCTTGGAAACTGCTGACATATGCGGTAAAAATTTTAAGTTTTCTCAACTTTGCTCGTAGTTTTGAACATGAAAGTGACAGGCGATTTTTTAAAATGTGCAGAATGTTTGTTAATATTCCAAGCAGAATCGTTGAAATTCAACAATAGTTTGTAGTTATTTACCCCTATTTTCTCAACCTCTTTAGTGTGTGCTTGTTTTAAGTACGAGTTCATGTATTTAGCTGTCATTTTAAAGAGTTTTTTTCGTTTAAATGTTGAGATTTTGGCCGAGTTTGTTTTTCGTCTTTTTCGAGCCTTTTTAAGTCGAGTTTTTCGATTAAATTTTAATCTAAACTATTGTCTATGTATACTAGATTATGGAAATAGTTTGCCTCTTTATGTTCCAGATATGTTAAAGATTTCAAAGACAGTCGGATAATCGGATTCTTTTGCATGTGTGTGCATTTTTATTCGGCTTTTTAACGACGTAAACTTTATTTACTAAGACCCCGTTTACACGGTACCGGACGAATTTGGGACCGGACGAAAATTCGTCCTTTTTCGCCTGTTTACACGCGAATTCGTCCGGTTAGGGGGTCTCAAATTCGTCCATTTCCGTGGTTCTCGTGTGTTTACATGGCCGAAACGGACGAATTTTCGTCCGGTCACAAATTCGTCCCGTACCGTGTAAACGGGGTCTAATTTAATCAAAATTCGGGAAGCCATTTTGTGTTCGAAATTTTGGATTTTTTAAGCCTTGTTTCCTTCTTTTAAATAAGTTTTACTTAACCAAACTTTGGTTCTATAACGGTCTCTTACTATTGTACTGTTTCATGACATGTTTTTTAACTTTTTTAAAACTCACAAGTTGTATTTTTCAAGTCATTCTTGGGAGTTCGCAACACTTAGTAGTTGTCAACAAAGCCAAGACAAAATGTCGCCAAAGCCATGCAAGGAAGCCATTTAAACGCTCATTTCGTTAAAACGTTATTATTTTACATAAAAGTCAAGTAAAAAATTCCGTTTTCTTTATGTGGTTTATACTAAAACAATTAGACAACTCAGCCTCGTTGTCTCTGAACGAATAGTCAACTCGGCTTCGCCTCGTTGACTATTCGCTCATAGACAACTCGGCTTTGTTGTCTAATTGTTAAGTATACTCAGATAATTCTCAGTTGACAAACCAGGACAAATTTTAAACTTTTCAAGAGATTTCATTAGCAAATGCAACTGTTTTCTTTCGTGAACTATTGGTGGTAAAATATCAGGGTCAATATGCATAGTTCTTGGTTTCCCCATATGAAAGAATTGATAACTGCCATTTGCATTTATAACTACTTCATAATCAATCTTAACTGGACTCTTTCCATGATAATACAAATGTACATTTGCCTGTGGAACATTTGGGATAACTTTCCATTTGGGAAACTTACTTGCAGTATTCACCATACCCTTACTAACCCTGTATGCAAGAGTTTTTGATTATTTACTCTCTTGTAAGCATGCCAAACATTCATTCTCAATTGCCATTTTTAATTCATCACAGT